TATAAATGGAAACTATTTGGATAAATATAAATAAATATTGACTTCTTTAAGTCATATTAATAACTATATTTTCACACAAATGTAGAAGTAAAATAGAACAATGGCATAAAAGGAAGGAAGGTATAATTGAAATTAAACAAAAGAGATTCTTCCATTGTTCTAGAAATATTAAGAATATCAATTTAGTTTGACTAGGCCAGAATAGTAAGTAAATACACCTTTTTATTTTGCAAATACAGAAATTTATAATTAAAATTCTAACAGAGAAAAATGGAATAACAAAAATACCCTTTATTAATCTAAAAGAAGTTAGGAAATAAAGGAGCATGGGGAAAATCAAAAGTAAATAATGATACAGTGAATTTAAGTTCAGCTAGATCATATGTTACATTAAGTGTAAATGAAATAAACATTGAGTTAAATTCAAAGATTCATTTTTTCATACATTAAGAAAAGTTTATTAAAAATGTATACCAAAAAAAATGATAAAATACATGAAATTTTCAAATTTTTTGAAAAGTATAATTTATCCAAATTAACTCAAGAAGAAAGTCATAATAGTTTTATATCCATAAAAGAAATTGAGGCGTGAAGATTTAATTTAAAGCCTTATCATAAAGGAAAATTCAGGATTTCCAGCTTCCAAATAAGATACACAACACTAGAAGTGGTGTGTTCTCGAGCTAACAAATAAAATAATTTAAAAAATGATAGATGTTCATGAATCCTTCAGAAAGCTGAGACCACGAGTCAACCTGCTAATCTGAAATAAAAGGACAAACAGCTGCCTCAAAGTTGAGACAGGATGCAAGTAACATTTCCCTTGGAGCAGTGCATAGAATGCAGACTGGCTGGCATGCAGAGATTTAAAATTTTCATTGTTTCAAACAAATTATTAAGAGATTGAGTATAGTTTAGTGTGAGAACCCAGAGAGCCTTGGACACTCTTCTCTTTGGATGCTCACTGTGTGTTCGTTAGAAAGATTGAAGGAAAGACTAGAGGTCAGTGGAAGCAGGCATGGAGAGAAACATAACCATCATTGTGGGAAAGGCAGAAAGCTCCATTTGAATGCCTCAGACCTACAAACAAAGCATTAGTCTGTTGCGGGAAAGGTATCACTGTTATCCCCAAAGAAAAAGTGAATGTCTATTGCAACTTGGGAAAATGAAAAGGAAAAACAAGAAGCAGCAGCAAGACAAGACTTCTAGCATGAAAGAATGGGAGATTGTCCTGGAACCAACTCACTACAGATGGGCTACATCAAGGGATATAGAGAGCTCTACTTCTGAGACCCAGAGGCATAGGACCTGCCTAAGACTGAAGCTGGACAAAGCACAGAGAAACAACTCCCCATACACACACTCCAACATCATATCTAAGCATTGATAACAATAGCAGTTTACCATTGTTAAAAGGCAGGATATGGAGAAAGATATTTTCTCTGAGGTATAGGTGTAAAGAGAAAGCCTATAGCTGAGAATGGGGCAGACAATGAAAAAACTCTAGTAAATCAGATTCTTATCTGAGCAAAAGATGATGCCAAAAGAATGTGAAACTGGAGATGCACTGAAGGTAAGCATGACAACAAAACTCAAACCCAGTTCAACTATAAATTGAACTGACTGAACTCCACTCACTGAAGATCCAGCAGATGAAGATATGTATCCATCTCTACATATATTATTATTTGTGCTATATACAATATCCTGCYTTCAAATCCAAATTATAAATTATACAAAGAAAATTAAAAAGTAAGAAGGAAAGAAGGGAAGGGACTGTCAAGAGACCAAATCTAAACCAGGTTCAGAAATTAACCAGACATTGGAACGATCCAGAAAACTTTTTTTCTTTTTTTTTTTTTTTTAGTAAAAAAGACTAGTAACTAGTACTAAAAGCTGTAGTTAGAAAAGGTGGACAACAACACATGAACAAATGAATTTTAGAAAAAAAGATGAATAAACTATAAAATTGAAATAATTAGAAATCAAAAATAAAAGCAATTACCAAGATAAATGATGACTTTCATAGGCATATCAATAGACATAACACAGTCAAGGGAAAAACTTAAGTAAACCTGAAATAAGTCAATGTAAATTCCTGAACCAAAACACAAGGAGAAAGAAAAATGAAAAAAATAAAAGATTCTGACCATCCAAAGCTATGGGACACTTTTTTAAAAAATAGTTTTCAGTTATACATGGATGCAATATCTTTATTTTGTTTATTTACTTTTATGTAATGCTGAGGATTGAACCCAGTGCCTCACACGTGGGAAGCAAGCACCGTACCACCGAGCCACACCACAGTCACCAATGGGACACTTTTTAATGGGCCTAACATCTACATATTTGAAATCTCAGAAAAGATAAAAGAATTATTGGAAGATGTAATAGAAAAGAATTTTCAAAAGACAATGAATAACATCAAAGTTTAGATCCAAGAAGCTTAGAGAACCCCAGGCAAAATAAATTTATAAAAAGAAGAAAACAAATCATCTAGAAATTCTGACTTGAAAATGAAAAATGAAAAAAATCCTTAAAGCACCTGGGTGTAGGGGAGACATATTACATATAGAGGAATAAAGAAAGGACACACAGACTTTATGTCAGAAACAATCAAACCAGAAGATGATGGAGTTAACATCTTTAAAATGCTAAGGGTTGAAGAGGAAAACTGTCAACCACATTCAATCCCCAATGAAATTATCTATCATAAATAAAGTCATTTCAAATAACTGAAAACTGAATTATCAATAAAGCTTCACTAAAAGAAATTTTAAAGAAGATTTTTTAGGTACAAGGAATATGGTGCCAGGCAAAAACGTACTCAACATAAGGAAATGAAGATCCCCAGAAAAATGTTAAAATGGAAATTAATATAAAATAGTTTTGGGAGCATAAATGAAGACAATTTTGTTGTTATTTTGCACAATGCATAAAATTAAAAATATAGTAACAATAAATACAAAATGGAGGTAGGAGTTGGAAGTTTACTGTTGAGAGTATTTAAGATTACAGTCAGGCACTCCATGATTCAGTCTATGATGGATCACACAGACTGTCATGGACCTGTAAGACTATAACACCTAGTGGTGATATAGCCATCTTAGTCTTAACACTTAGTCTAAACACTCTGATGTTTGCAGGATGACAGAATTGCCTTATAAGGCATTCCTTAATGATACCTGTTCTTATTTGGTACATGACTGTGTATATAAATCATAATACTATTGCTTGCAGGTGGATTATGATTAATTAAAAATATGTACTATAAACTTTAAGGCAAGGAGCACCAGACTATAGCCTGTGTACCAAATCAGCCCATTTATGCATGATTTTGTGGAACTGTAGAATTTTACTGAAATCTCTTGATTTCCTGTTGGCTACTGCAATGTGGTGTTTTGTGGTAAAGCTTCAAGTGAACTGGAAATGGAATGCAGCTCAGTAGAAGGAGCTTGAGTCAAGAGCTTCTTCYTCACCTCTAATGAGCGTCACAGTCTCTCTCACAGAATCTTCACCACTTCCCTTTATGCCTCTGCTCTGATGGCCATCCTACTAACTGGGCTCCTCTGCCTATGGTATCATTTCCGTTTTCTTACAAGTCTGTCTTAAAATAACTTCAGAGTGCCACAAATTTCCAATTCTATTTCATGGCATCATTTATAGATTCTTCTCCTATCTAGCTCTTAATTTCAACTTCTGTTTCACAAAACAAGACTATTTGATCTAGCTTATCTTTTCTTGACAGTTTGTTTCATAGGTATCTGATAACCTAAAGATATTTTGCTGTTGCAACAGATGTCCATTCTTATCCAAATATCAGTAGCTTAATTATTAGTCCAGTTCTTGACTATTTTGGCAGAAATTTCTCTGGATGAAGAATTTTTCTTTTCCAAAGGAAAGATGCTCCACATAATAAGTATTCAAGGTCTGGCTATTTCAGTGTACTTTGCATAGATTTTAGTCCATATTCTAATACATTACCTTGTTTTAACAAACCTTGTCTTTTATAAATTAATTTTTGGTAGTTAAAGAAACACATTTTTCAGTGAAGTCAATTTTTATAGTATTCCTCATATAACCTTTCTCATCTAGAAATAGATATTCTAACTAATTCTCAGTTTAAATATTAAACACTTGAGTTTTCTATCCACAGTCCAGGTAAGCTATGGGAAACAGAGTTAAAGTATTGAATTTCTAAATCTCAGAAGTTAGATCCTATGTTCCCTCCTAAGTTCTCCATGCAATTTTTTACATTTAGAAATTTCATTTTTTATTAGTGCATTATAGTTATACATAATAGTGACATTCGCAAATGCATACAACAATTTGCTCTAAAACACTTTTGATGGTACTCACTTCAGGACCCTGGCCTCTAAATGGAGCTTTACCTTTTGTGAATGTCTGAAAGTCTGAATCTCACATAAGGAAGAATAAATGAAGCCAATGATATCTCTGGGATAATACTAGTTACCCTGACTTTGCTCAAGAAGTCCCATAATGGAATTGAAATTTTCTCTCCTTAGAGGATACCCTCCAAAGGGAGGAGTAGACACACATCACCTGTGCTCTCACATTAGAACACTTGATTTACATTAACTCATGGATTTGATGACTTGCCTTAGCATTCTGCAAGTTATAGTGAAAATCCTAGCCAGTTCCCAGGATTGAAACCATACCCTTTTAAACTGTCCTCACCACACAGTCCTTTTGGCTTTCAATAATAATCCACAAATGGGCTCAGAYGTGCCATTCCCTTGTATGTAATTAGGTGAATCTGGAAATGAAAAGTTAGGTGTGCTAAAGTGGGGAGATGGGTAGAAGAAGGGGGAAATGAAGAAAAAATAGCAAATCTGAGGCCATCAAAGTAATTTCATACTTGATGCTAGTGTTTGGTTTTCTAAAAGAAAGGATGTTTGACTAAGAAATAAATCAGTCATGATTCTTAGAAGGGAGTTGTTTCTTTCAGCATTTAAAAATGTTTTGTTTTAATTTTTAAGATGATTATAGATCTTGGGGCATTCAGAAAAGTGAACTTTATAAACCAGAACAAACTTATCATCCCCCAACTGTGAAATTTGGAAATTCAACTACCTTTCAGGATGACTATGTTCCTCAGGAGATAAAACCGAGGCAAAGCTTTAAGCCCTTCTCTGTGGTCAAGCGTTCTACAGCCCCTTTTAATGGTGATACAAGTCATCGCATTGATTATGTACCTCATCAGCTAGAAATCAAGTTTGAAAAGCCAAAAGAAGTTTACAAGCCAACTGACCAACCTTTTGAGGATCTCACAACTCACCGGAATGACTTTCAGGGTCTTGTTGGTGAAACTGCAAAAATCTGCAGACCTGCCCACACCAGAGTGACCCAAAGTGCTCAATTTGAAGGAAACACTGAATTCCGGGAAAGTTTCCAACCATGGGAAATCCCACCACCAGAAGTCAAGAAAGTACCAGAGTATGTGCCCCCTACAGGCAGCATGCAGTTAAACAGCACAAGCCACCTTGACTATGTTCCCTATCAGGCCAACCGTGTTGTTCCCATCAGGCCAGTTTCTCACAGAAGAAAAAACAATTTTCCTTTCCAAGGAAAAAGCACCATGAAGGAAGATTTTCCAGTATGGGAAATTTGTCGTCAAGGGCTCATTAAGCAGCAGCAGCAGATTCCCAACCCTTCTGGAAAATTTGATGGTTTGAGCACTTTCAGATCTCACTATGTGCCACATGAATTGATTCCAACAGAGAGTTGCAAACCTTTAAATGTTGCTCTTAAGAGTTCTGTTCCATTCGATGATATCACTATGTATTCTATAGAGTACACACCAAAGAAACAGGAAATCTGCCCAGCTAGCTATCCCTCTCCTCCAGGCTATATATTTGAAAATACAAATTCCCAAGGCCATAAATTCTTCCGCAAGATCACTCCTGCAGTGAAAGCCTCCTAATCATCAAATTATACTTAAAAGGAAGCTAACTACAAGGTATTGATTTTTCAAGGGAAAACCTGATTTTTATAGTGAAAAAACTATAAGATAAACATGATTTTTCAGATTTTTAAACAAAATTGGAAAATGTATTATAGGAGATCAGAATCTTAAAATCAAKTTTTTACTGATATTTTAATCAAGATTGTGTTAATTTGCATTTCTGAATGTTGAATAATGTACATTTCCATCTGAACTACTTTAATATTTAGCATACTGTTTGATATTTTATCCTTAATCTATTATCATTTGCACTTCTGTTTATAATTATGGCAATTATGTGGTTATAAAGGTCATATACCAGTTACCACTTATCAAGAACATTGGGACCATCAACAGCAACACTGAAACAACAACATATGGATTTCTCTTCCGAAACAGTACGATTCAGTTTCCTCAGATTTTAAGGCACCCAGGTAGTGTACGCCAAGTCAAGTTTTGGGGCAGTGCTGGAGACCACTCCTCACTACACTGAAGTTAGTAAGAAACATTGCAACATGACAGCTTTTGGGGGCTGGAAATCAGAGCACATGAGCTCAAATCCTACTGCCATCAATTTCTATTTGTGCCACCTTAAGCAGGTGCCTCATGTCTCTGAGCTTCTTTGTCTTCATTTGTAGAAGAATATCTCTTCTGCCTACCACACTGTTTGTTTTGAGCATYAGATGATATGATGCATCTTAATCCATAAAGTAAAAGTACAAATGTAAGCAAGGAATTGTTAATAAATCACTCAATTGCTTTTGTATATTTTCACCTTTCCAAATAAGGATAATTTCCTATTCAATCGTCATTTCCTGGCATGTAGTAAAGATTGCAAAATAACCTACTTCATTTTGACCACCTCTGAGAAGAATTTTGCCCTCTCTAGAGTCACAGGGATTTGAACAGCTGTTACAGACAACGAGACCTTAGATTGGGGTGAATCACACAGTTGCTAGAATGATGTTAGGAAGAATGATAGCTCTGAAGAAATCTTCAGGGTAAACTTAAGTAATTATGTACCTAATTGTTATGCCCAGACTTTATGTTCAGAAAGAAGTAGAACCAGGCCCCAAATGGGGTATAATCACCTCACTGACCATTTCCAGTGTGAAGAAAAGGGATAGGGAGGGAAGGAAAAAATGATGTCAGCAAGCAAAGTAGAAACAAATATTTACAAATGTGGAAAATTCTCTAATGAATTAAACTGACTGGGCCGGCTTTTGTTAAATAAATGATTGCATTATGGAAGAATATGATTTATTTTAGCATAAGGTCTTTTATTGCTTCAGAATTGTTTCCAAGTATATACTTTATTGATAATAAACTCATAAGTATATTGATTAAATATTTCTAATTATTTGACAAGAATTTGTTCTTACAGTTGTACTTAGTGAAAATATGTTATGTGAAATTTTATATGCAATATTAATAAAACAAAAAGAATGGATTTTTCATGAAGTCATGTATCCAATTTTTTTTAAATGACAACTTTTTTTATTACAGTCTAGGTTGACCTATATGTGAGTAGACATTCTTAAATAAAAACCTTGTTAGATACTCAGAATTAAAAATCGGGTATACTACAGCACTCTGTCATCCCGGCCCATATTCCAATGATGAATATTCAGATCCCTCCATACTTTGATAGGTTCAATCTCCCTGGACAGAGGTCACCCTTAATAAGACATTTACTGGGATTTCCTGAGGCAATTTGCCATAGGCTGAGGATCCAATTATCAGTGTGCTGATAATACCTTCAAAAGTGTATTATCAGCACACTTTTTAAATAGCCTTTTGAAGTTTGCTAACTCATTATTTCAAGGTTCATTTTTACCTTCTTTGGTGGATTTTAAAGGGTTTCCTTTAGTCAAGGGGTTCAGCAAAATCTTTCTGAAAGAGATGACCAATCAGCCAAATCTTGAAATGTAAGTACAAACTTATCAAGATAGGTGAGAAGAAAGAGCATACACACAGGTACAAAGGGATTAGCATCTCTGTGTCTGAGTTGGAGATTAGTAAGATATAGAGGTAGAAAGCTTGCAATCCCCAATTCATCACCTTTTTAAGTTTCCTTGAAATATTATGCAGATACACACATTCATACATTTGAACAGCACTGGAAACCAGTAATATTATTTAACAACATGCCAGATTCTAGAATGAAGTTCCACTAAGGCAAACTTGGATGAATCTGATAAAGAGGCAAATTCAGAGAGAAAAGTTGGCAAGAAATTTTCACTTCCACCGTATTCCATTTCCACCCTGTCTTTCCCTTGTTGAGGAAAATAAGATCACAGACTGAGACATCAGAAACAGAGGCATTATGATTTATTTTCAAAAAAAATCTGCACAGGCAATGCCAAGAATGAACCCTAATGTCAACTATGAACTTTAGGTGATGATGTATTGATGCAAATGCTTTAATTGTAACAAATGTACCATTCTGATGGAGGCTGTTGACAGTTGGGAGGTTGTACACATGTGGGTTCATGGGGGATATGGGAAATCTCTGTACTTTCCACTCAGTTTTTCTGTGAACCTAAAACTYCAGGGRCTGGGGTTGTTTGTGGCTCAGTGTCAGAACACTTGCCTGGCATGTGTGAGGCACTGGGTTGGATTCTCAACACCACATATAAATAAACAAAATAAAGGTCCATTGAGAACTAAAAAATATTTTTTAAAAAGTCTGGTTTAAAACAAAACACTTTCATGTCAGGAGGAACAGAAGGGAGTATTCACCATTTACACCCCATCCTCTTAATATATCAATCCTTAGGCTTTCTTTTATGGAAAACTATAACCAAAAGCTCTCTCAGAATTACTCTGAACACTTACCAAGGGGAGAGGAAACCTTTTAAAATCCAGCAAAGAAGGTAAAAATGAACCTTGAAATAATGAGTTAGCAAACTTCAAAAAGGCTATTTAAAAAGTGTGCTGATAATACATTTTGAAGGGTCCCAGTGTCCAATAACACATGAAGATTCTTCCATTTTGTTAAGGCTGTAGTTTTTATTCCTCAGTACACACAATTCTCTTTAGCATGGAAGGCAGACTTTCACCCTATGTGACAGACATAGTACTATTACCAATGTCACCCTTCCCAACCTACCCATGACATAGCATACAGTTTGATAGCTGCTCTCTAGGGTGGCTGGGGTATTTCACCATTCCCTCCAATATCCCTCCCCCCCCCCTTTATTTCTGGCCAGTATGGGGGCTATAATGGCTAACAAGAAAATGTGGCTAGGAGGTGCTCAAGATAGTAAAGCAAGCAATACGAAAAACAAAACAAAAAACACAAAAAATGATAAAAGTTATAAACAGACACATAACTAAACACAGTATTAAATTGCTAGGGATACTATATCAAACTGGGTGGTTTAAATAATAGAAAGTTTTATTTTAGTTCCAGAGGCTAGAAGTCCCTAGATCAAGGGTTGCTTCTTTCTGAAGGCTGTGAGGAAAAATCTGTCCCATTCCTTTCTCCTCGCCTCTAATGCATTTTCTGGCATCTTTGGAGTTCTTTGGGGTTAAGAGCTCTGCCCTAAGGACGCATGTCATTCTCCCTGTGTGCTTGCAAATTTCCCTCTTAAGGATACCAGGCATATAAAGACAACTCAGAGAACAAACTATTGATTCACGCAACAGCATGCATGAAATGTAAACATGTTTTGACCAATGAAAGAAGCTAAACTCCAAATGTTATCTGTTGTATGATCTCATTTGTATGTTTGTGGAAAAGGCCAAACTAAAGAGACAGAAAATAGATGAATATTGCCTACAGGTGGTAAGTAGGAGAGAAATTACAGCAAAGTGGCAGGACAAGGGAATTGTATGGGTACTGAGACTTTTATGTATGATATTGGTGGCAAATACACAACTCTGAATTCTCCAAAACAATTAGAACACAATAGAGTGAATTATATTATATGTAAACTATAAAAAACATCACCTACAATAAGGGAAACCAAAGAAGGGGTTCAGACTTTGACAAATATATATAGTTGCACTACAAATTAAGCACACAAGCACACTGATGGATTAGGAAGAAAAGAGATGACTCAAGGAACTTGGAAAATTTTTATACTGGACACTATAAAGCTAAAGACAAAAAGAATTGTATATATCATCATACTCCAGTTGGTAATTTTTTCCCTCTCTCACAAGGGTATATGCTAGTAATTCTAAGCCACTTTGAGGGAATGTTGAGGTTGAATCAAGAAAATACATTGTAGATAATGACAGCCTGACTTCTCATTTCCAGAGGAAAAAGCTACAGACAAGAGAAATATGTAGACCATAATAAAGCCCACAGTATTGAATTAGTGTGCAAGGTTTAAGTATGAATTCATAAAAATAGATGTAGGTGTGCATTCACAGATTGGTGTATATGCAGTCAACTTAAAAATGTTTCCAATGATTAAGCTGCAACAAATTGTGTGATGATATAAATAATGGTAGTTTTTGATTATTTTTCCAAAATACAGCATATAACTTAACACCTTTACATATATTTTAAGTGTACAATTCAGTGGTATTAAATGCATTAATAATGTGTAACCAGATGACTATGCATCACCACAACTTTTCATCCTGTAAAACTGAGTCTCTGCTCATTAAACAATAAGTCCCCTTTTCTCTCTCCTCCCAGCTGCTGGAAGCCATGATTCTACTTTCTGCCTCTGATTCGATTTACTCTAAGAATGTCATAGAAATGGAATCATTCATGACCTTGACACTTCAAGAATACTAGCCAGGAATTTCGTAGGATGTCCTTCAATTCGGGGTTATCTGATGTTTCTCATGATTATACCAAGATGATAGAGAAAGGTGTCACTCTACCAATTGCTGATAGGAGGTAGCTGTAGACATCTAAACTCCATCTCGAAACTCCTCACAATGCCCCAAAGAGAAGGGTATCATGCAGTTTCCAGTTCTGGTTCCAGAACTTGGAGACCATCATGCCTCACACCATTCTAACAAATAGCAAGCTGGATAGTCTGAAAAATCAAGTTTTCTTGGATCAGAAAAACAGAAGAGGACACAGAACAAATCCCTGACCCCACAGTCATGGCTTGTCACAGCAGAGATGGAGGGACCACCAAAGGAATAAGTGCTGGGTAGGAAAATCTGAAGTGCAATTAATGAATTGCTGGAAGCTCAGAGTGAATAAGTTGAAAAGTCTCAAGGGAGCCAATTGTGGGAAGGGGCACACAGTTACTAGGAGATTTTAAGGAGYTTGACCAGTTTCTTAACGCAAATGTCAGAGAATAATCCCCTGGTGTTACCAGCTGAGGAGGAAGGATCCATTGTGAAATGATCTTTCTGTTGTTCTTAACAATGCCTGTCCTCAGGAATAGTCAATCAGAGCTTAACCAGATGAGATATTATCAGAATCTAACTGACCTGGCTGACCAACTCCAGTCTACTCTAGCTTTCCATATGAGAGAAGGGAAATAGTTAACTCCAGCTCACTCTACCCAGCCTGATCCACCTTAAAGGAAAAACAAACAACTAACTCTTAGAAACATAAAGAAAATTCACAGTCCAGAAACACAGGCACACAAAAAAGACCTACTCATAAGACAACAGAATGCCTCTCCCCACAACTTAGCACCATACTACTACTAAAAGCCTACTTAYAGAGGGTACTTTTATCTAGAACATCATATCTGACTACCAAGAAAAAAATAAGACATACTAAAAGGCAAAAAAGTTTAA